CCATAGCCCCATACTAGCTACTATGAAGGAAATTAACTCTATCCCAGTCAAAACCAGGACAAGTCTATAGTTTGGTACTATGACAAACCCTGTTTCTTTGAGAACTGGTTTTGGAAGCAGGGACACACACAGTCTTCATTTAGAAGCCAGGGAGGTCACTGATGTACAGAACTCCTGGCAAACAGCATATAGCTGCTAATACTTTTTCTTAGGGAGGATTTTGAAATGAGCTTTGAGTTATGGATAGCATAAGTTCCAGAATAACACATTCAATAATTGTGTATATGATTGCTGCAATAACCCTACATACAAAAGAAAGAAATACAGTATTTGTGCATGTATTTAAATGGAGGCAGATTCAGACTTTCTCTGTCCAAGTTGTGAGAGAACCAAGCATCAGTCTGCTCTGATCCAGAACCCTCATTGCCACAATAGCTGGATGTCCACAACCATGCCAGAAAGCTCTGGCACAGCAGCTTGCTCAACCAGCTATATGATTTCAAGGACAGGGCAACTGGACAATATGGGCAATTTTCTTTTGCACTTCAGCAAAGCTGTGACCATACCCAGCACTTATGACCTGGTTCTTGATTTGCTTTTCGTGACTTAGGTTGCTTATTTATCATCCTGATCAAGAAAAGCAGGGCAGTCCATTTCCTTTGCTTTATTTGAACAAAATTCTTGCAGTTTTAATTTCAGGTCTGTTGCTCTAGCCCAAAGTTGCATATGTAGCTTTCAAGCACTGCAGAAGAATGCTTGCTTGTGCTAAGATACTTTTCTAATCAAACGCGGAAACTCAACATGAACCATATCTATCGGTCATGAAGACTTCAGTAAGTGTAGTTTTGCAAGATTCTTGATTTTGTGTCAACTGTCTCCCTTTTACTTCTACATCTGTGCATACTTATTATTTACATAATACTCTACAACAAATATCTATATTTATGCAGGGGGTTTTTAAGCCTATTATGTAGCCTGTGCTCCTTGTCAGGTTTGATTCATGTAAATGCTTACAGAAAGAAACCCCACTGCCAGCAGCCCTGAACTTGCTATTCTTTCCTGCAAATTCCTACTGCGGGTAAAGCAGAGGGACTGGGAGGGTCCCTGCCTCTCAGGGGAGGCACAACACAAGCACTGCAAACCAAACAGGACAGATCCCTTACTTCTGTCTAATCGCCTGAGGTCTAGACATCTTTTAGATTTCCACCTTCAACTCCAGAGTCCTCTCTCCTTTTTATTCCAAGAGAGTTTCATAAAACCCTGAGATTCTTTTACTTTTTTCCCCAACATCTCCTGCTGTTCATCAGTGTCCCAATGCAATGCTCTACCAGGTTAGATGCATTTTGGATGTTGTTACTTGGTGTGTGTGCAGACCAGGCATTAGGAATGCATTGGGATGCCCATGTCTGAGCCAGCAGATATGAACACACAACTCCTTAAATCCTCCTCTGTAACGTGAGTGCACCCTGCCACCCATCTGAGCTGCAGGTGCTACCCTGAGCTTCAGTTTTCAGTCTACCAGTAAAAGTCAAAGTACATCTTTGGCCTATAGGCCATACAGAGAAGAAGGAGGATGTTCTGTCCTGGATTTTGTTATGTTTTGGCATTCACACTCCTAAACATAAATCGTTAATGTTTGAACAGATCATACTCTTCACAAGCTTGTTACATGCACTGCCTGATTTCCCGCAGATTTCTCTCCTGCCTTTAACTTGCCCCTCCACAGACATCAGACATCCATCCCAGGGCTCCACAACACCCACTCTCTCTGGATAGCTGCACTTTTGCCCTCACTCTCACCTTTGTGATATTTCCCAGCTCTTCCCTTTGCTCCTCTCTTTCTCCCCTCCAGTCTTCCGCTGAACTACTTGCAGCTCTTTTGCTAAGGTTTTTCAGGCTCTCCAAAACACTCGTTCTCACATCTCCATCTCTCTGGCCCACCAGCTTATGCTGTGCACAGGCTTATTAATTACCCATCTACTAACACGGGGAGCAATGAACAACAGCTGAATCTTGATTGTGTTTCCCCCAGCAAAAGCAAGATTTGTTTGGGTGAGTACCCAGCTATCGACTGTCATGAGATTTTTCCAAAGTGAATGTCAGTGAGATTTCACCTTCTGTGTTGGACGAAACTGGCTAATATATGACAAAACTAGAAGGCAGAGGGAAAGACAGACAGAAAACCACATAAAAAAAAAAGCGCTTAATATTCCTATGCGCCTCAAATGTGATATTTTAAGAACCAGTTAGATAAAAATAATGACCATTTTCAAAAGTGATATACTGCCTATGCTGAGGTATAAGATCTGAACTCTAGTATCCATTTGTTTAAAAAAGAGTCATTATAATTACTTTCATTTGCCATCAGACTTTCTCCCTCTTCTTCCTCTACTCTCAACACCCCCTGCGAAAGGCCTTGGTAAAAATCTGCATGGGGACTCCACCACCTCCTCAGTACCACATTTCAGCTGGCCAGAAATAAAGGAATAGAGCATTAAATTAAATATGGTCTCCCACACAACCGTGCTGTGTATTCCTCCCTTTAGAGTGGTCCCAGCTGATGGCTTGACACATCTGTCTGAGGGAACAGAAAAAAGCCCACTTGAACAACAGCTCAGTCCTCTGCTTCTTCCCACCTTCATCAAACTACAGAAAACAAAAGGCACATTTTTCTTCCATGAACCTTTCATCCCTTTCACCAGAAAAAGAAATCTCATTTTCATCCTGATTAACCCACAACATGGCAAATCTTGAGAGAAGATATCCAAAGCATATAGGGTGACATATTTCCTCCAGATTTAGATCAATTTAAAGATGTGTCCAAAAGTGTGTATAGAATGGTTTGAGAGAAATAAATACAAAATGCCACGCTGATACTGTAGGTCATTTCAAAAAGCATCGAGGCTGGATAATCTTGCCGTGGCCCTGACACGACAGTGTTGCGGTAGTGTCAGGATGCTCATAAAGACGTAAGGGAACCCTCAGAAAAGCACACAGGGCTCATCAACAAGCAACTAACCTGAGAGTGCCTTCCTCGAAGAGGAACGGCTGCAGGAGCACACTCCTGTGCTCGCTCCTTCCCAGGCTATGAGATTTTACTTCACCCGCAGAAGCCTGAAAATCTGCAATGATAATGAAAATGTTAATGCAATCTGAGCTACCTCAGTACTAGTGGGGCTAACTATTAAAATCTCATGAAAAACATAATGAAGCCTTTTTCTTTTTTTTTTTTTTTTAATCTTTATGCACTAACCACAGAAGAAGGCGATTTATCAAAACCATTCACTACATCTGACTAATAGTTTTGTACATTACAGGAATCCACAACTAACTGATGAATACTGACAAGCTGCAAACCTTTTCTCTTCTTGTAAATATTGCAAAGTGTCCAACAGTGCTGCTAATACTGCTGCAATAAAATCAATAAAAAAAAATAAAAGAAAGAAAAGCTAAGAGCATTTCAGAAGTACAGAAAAAGTCTTTTGACTATTTTTCACATTTATGTTGCTTTCCTGCCTTTCTCTGGAAAAATGAGAGTCATGCAGCTATGTTGTTACAGGCTGCAATCTGGTGGGATCACAGAGTTTAAACTGTATTCATCCTAGTCACGGCTTAAATGGCAGAGCCCTAAAGGAACAGCGAGGTACTGGGGAGGGTTATCAACTCAGCTCAGGGCATTTTGCCTCTTGAATCAGAACTGAACCAATCTACCATTAAAATATTAGGCGACACAGAGCTTCTGTTTTAGATAAGCTACAGCTCAGAGAAAATTGATTGGCAATATTGCTTTGCCAGAGCAGTGGTGATGGGGCAGGGAAGCGAAAAAGCTGAGCAGCCTCTCCCCACCATGTAACAGGGAAAACTGCTTGCACTGTGCTGGTTCATGACGTGCCTCTGAGGGCTCCCGGTCATGGCCCTGCTACTAAGTGGTGTTCAGGAAACAAGAAGCAAATTTTCTGCTTTGTGTCATTTGTCATCATAGTGGCTTCTCCTGACCATTAGAACTACAAATATTATCAATAAAAATATGAAACCATGATCCTGACTGACTGCTGCTATTGACATATTAGGGTATTAGAGACCACCTGAGTGTTGTGCTACTCAAGTGCCAATGCAAATATCTGCCCGATTATATTTTTTTCTAAAGTAAAGATGTGAACTCTGCCATCCAATGAACTTGCATTTTTACTGTGTAAAAATAAACCCAATATGAAAGCAATGAGCAATTTTAAATGGTGAATACCTTAAGTACAACAGAACCCAAAGGAAACTTTAACCGAGAATCATAAAACATTTTAAAAACAGTAATGGGTGAAATTCAACCTTGTAAGGGGGACAGCACCGGCTGTACATCATTTAAGCCCTACTTAAGGCCTCAAAATAGGATTTAAGTGAAACTTAGCTGGTGCATGACATTTGTGCTGATGCAGTGCAGAGCTGAGTGCCACTCGTTAATGACTTAACCCTCACAAGCAAGCATTCCTTTGAGGATCATTACTTTTATTGCATCCAAAGCTTTTGAAGACAAAGGACTGTCCTTTGCAGTGTTGTTTCACATTATGAGGAGCCTGGTGCCGTGGTCATCTTCAGATATTTCCATTTCTCATTCTCATGCTTCTCTGTGCTATGGCATGACACCCTGTCCTCTCAGCTGTGCTCCCATCCTGTTACATGGGTCAACAGAAGTATTACCACTGGAGACCTTTCAACATGAAGCTGCAGCTTCAGTTAATTGATTCCATAAGCCGTATAACACTCACTGCTACATCTTGCAGCACTGGGTGCACAGGGCGATTACTCAATGGAGATTTGCTGCTTCCCATTTTGACAACTGCCACTCCTCTTTTCCAGAGAAATTCACAGGGACGCAAGGAAGACCCCAAGGAAAAGAACTAAACCAAAACAACCAGGAACAACAACAACAAAATCTCTGAGAAACCAGAACAGAACAGCGTGTAAGTGCTACCCTCTAAAGCTTTATATCTTTCTCACCCTTTCAGAGCAAGCTTTGGAAATCACGGGCTTAGAGAACGGGGGCCTCTGCGACGTCCGTGCTTCTGACTGCACCAGGATCCGGGTGTTTGGCCTCGGCTTCAGAGAGTCGCCCAACCTGCACTGCGAGGTCACCAGATTAATTGTAAGCACCTTCCCATGGGCTCGTAAAGTATTACTGATACAGTCAGTCTTTGACCTGTTTATAGTCAAATCTTTTACCTTGAACTGTGCCGAGTGCCATCATCTCTCACTGCCTCTCACAGAGGGGTACAAGTACCTTCAAAACCCATCGCCAATATGTTTGCTACAAACAAGGGGAGCTGAAAAGGCTCAGCCCTTTCCAGGACTGGTTCCTTGGAAATGCACAGCTATGCCTTCTTGCTAATTTTCTCTGTGGGGTATTGTTTAATTCTTGTTTGGTTCAGCTGCACTGTAGTCCGGTGAAGCCTGAAATCACAATATTATTTCTCATTTTGTGCATCTGGAATTGGTACGCTTGGTTGTTTTCCTAAACACATTTGAATGCTAAGTTTTGTGGTTAAATATAAGGTTTCCTCGACATAGTTACAGAGGCTCTTATCTGAATTTTCTTAGGCATAGTTCAAGTGCAAATCAGAAGTTTTAATGAGTATTAAACCCATCTCTTCTGCTAACACTACAACTTTATTATAGCCAACTATACACAGGCAATGCTAGGACTGAATTATTTGGTGTATCGGCATACTCAGATATGAAGTGTTGGATTCATCTCATAAAAGATGTTCAGCCTGATACCCATTCAGTGCTAACATGATAATGAGGCACAGCTGAGATTTGCCTACCATGCCCGCTTAGAGCTCCTAAAAGCAGTGATGCCTTGTGCAGCTGATCAAGGTAAGTAGCTGATGTTGCCTTCAAGGAGCAGCAAGCTCGCTGCTGAGCTTCAGCAGCAAACACAAAGTTGGTCCACCACGTTACCCTGTCTCATCCTAAGCACGGATCACAGCACTTCCTAAATTAATAGACCACTTGCATGCATAGATGAGCATGGCTTGCTCTTTACTGTGGCTACAGTAATAGCGTCATTTCTTTTAAATAAACAATCTGGAAATGCCTTATATTATTAATTAGAAATACAAACATATGTTGACAACTGGAATTTCTTTATATGAACCTTCAGTTTTGCACTCTCCTTCTGTTTTACTGCAGCATCTCAATGGCGAATGGATATCAAGAGAACAAGAAACCACAAAAGCAGATTTTGTCAGCTCTGAGGCTGTTGACTGCCAGATTCCTCTCCTGAACATTACAGAGACAGAGGCTGTGCACTTTGTGGCGGGTGATGAGCCGTTTGCAAGATGGCAAGTGAAAGTAGGAATTCCTTATGTTTCTAAGAAATTATTTAGAAGGAGAAAATCAATTGTCATGGTAAATTAAAATGCAAAGCACAATTTGCTTCCCTTCAGAAATGAAAATGCTTATAGAAATACTCACATTAATGTCACGTAGGGAAAAAAAAGCCAACACCAACCAAAAAAATATACGTTAACAACAGGTGCCTTTGTAGGCAATCTGAAAATGCAAATTACAATCACTTCTCCAGGTAATCACCTGAGATTGATGCAGTTGGACTAATCAATTGTTAATCATTAGTATTTCATTTCTGGAAACCCCAGCTCAAACTCCTGATTAGGCAGCAAGTATAAGACAGCTTTGATGCCCTGGTTGCAAGACCTATGCTTGCTCAGTGCAGGAGCCAAGGACTGGCTGGCTCCTGGGCAGCGGGTGAGAGCTGGCACGGCATGAGCAGGGATGTCATGGTCTTGGTCTTGAACGACTGCAGGAAGAAGCATGAGCAGTACCTGCTCACGCCAGGTTCTCTGCTGTGGTTTTAGGCCCCTTTGCTCACAAAATGATACCTGCTTCCTAAATATTTCCAGGAAATCAGTGCCTTACTGACCCTCTGCCTGCTACGCTTGGTCTCGCTCTCAGCCTGGATGGTTATTTTCTGCAGATTGGATGGTTTTTATAAGACTGAGATCATTTAAAGGCTCTATAGCTGAGAAAAATATATTGCCATTGTAGGAAGACTGCAGATGTGCTTTGAAAATTGCAGCATGTAAAAATGAAATGCGTAAAACACTCACTTCACTGCCGTGTTACTGCCTTGCCCTGCACCCCACAGCTGTCTGTACCCCAGACTGGGGACAGGTGCTGCCATGTAGCTTAGGGGAAAGATGTTTGGCAGCACACATTTTCTGTCCAGTCATTTATTTTAAATAGATAGGGGTTTGTGGTTTAAGAGATTAGTGTAAGATCTCTGTGGGAGCAGAGCCTGACCATCAGCTGCTGGGGTGGACCTTGGACCTTCCTTCTGGAGAAGGTGCTGTCGGAGTGGGCAGACACCGAGGCTGAACCAGGAGAGCAGTTCCTCTGCTTAGGGCTCCAGAACTTCTCAAAAAAGATACTGAACTCTGCCAGCTGTAAGATGAAATGCCGCCTCACGATGGAAGGATCTGAGAGGGAGACACCCTTGATTTTCCTGGCCCAAGAGGACAGCTGATGGTTTTGCACGTGCATAGGGCTGTTTCTCCAGTGTAACTAGGATAGCTTCCTCGCAGCTCAGGTGTATTATGATGCAGTTTGCTTTCAAGTGCTGCCTTTCAGCCCAGACGAGGTCTGTATAATTTTTCTTATTTTTTCTCCTCAAAACAGATATAGAATGTCTTTTGCCTTGCACTTAAGTTCAAGAAAACCTCTGCACCTGTAAGCTTTCTGCCCTTTCCCTCTCCTTCAAACCCAGCAGAAAAAAACAGTTGATGGCTATGCAGCAAATGCACAATTAAATCATCTCAGTCCACATGTGAATCCTAGTTCTCCTGTGGATCTTTTTGCTGAATGAATTGGGAAGGCAGAGCTCAGTGCTCAGTTTCAAAGGCAGCTGGCCTTACACGGCAGCACAGAGAACAAAATGACGGAGCTTTTCAAGATAAAAAATTATTTGAAACTAATTCCACAGATGTTCAAAAATTTGTGCTCTGGAAAATTCCTGATAAGACTTACTGCAACATTGATCTTCTGGGTTATGTTAATAGATACTTTTTAAAATGTAGGTAAAAGATTTTTCAGAGCCAAAAATCAAAACAATTCTTTCTGGAAATATCACTGTTCAGTATTTCAGAATCTCTCCCCCCTCCCAAATCAAATTTCAGAGGAATCAGCAAAGTTGCACATAAGCTTTTTTTACTACTGACGTCGGGGGAACGGAGGCTTGACAAGTTCTTCCCAATGCTCTTTCATTTTATCTGCTCTTGTATTCATGTTTCAGATTTTGCTCATTCTTTCCATGACAAGCTGCCGAACATAGGTAGGAAAGTACTTGGGGCTACATCAAAGCATTTGGTATAATTAGTTTCAGAGCGTTTGGTATAATTAGTTTAGATATCAAAATACAAACTCCTACTTGGGCAGCAGATGACTTGGGCTGTCCGCACAGATGCCTGGGTGAAGAGGTGAAAGAGCTTGGCAGGCACTTATCTAATTTGGGTAGCAGGTCTCTCACTTATCCCCAATTCATTATTGTTGCCTGTATTTGTCAAGAGCAGAAAAAAATATTTGTTAAAAAGTCAGTGAGGCAGAAACCGAATTTGAATTCAGCAAGTTTTTACAGCTTTCTTTTTTCATTTACAAACATTCGTACAAGTCAAATTGTATGTGGATTATGAATGATACAAATAGACAAGATTGTTTTGTGATGAATGAAATACTTCAGGCAGAAGTGACAGACTTTCTGATTGTCCTGACTGCTTATCCAGAGGTGGTTCTTTCTTTCCAGATGACGCGTATGTTCAAGCAATCAAGGCACAACTCTAAGCACGTCTTTGCCTTTTAAGGGCCAACCAAATTTGAAGAGAGGTTTGCTCAGCTTAGGTCTCATTGAAGTATTTGTTCCACATCACTAAGGTGACTAATGGAAAAGCAATTAAAATAGCTACAAAACAACCCAATTCTAAGAAGACACCAAAATGGATGTTTATAATAGAATGTAGAAAAAAAATACAGATTAAAAACCCCAAAAATCAAATTGGCGAGAGTTACATTTCACTCACGATGCTCACTTCAGACAGAACAATTAGTGCAATTTTATAGCTTTTTATATTTTCCCCTGTCTACCCATTTCTTCACTCATTATTAGTGCACCGGTATTGAGACAACATTGGACGCTCTGATAAAAGAATGAAATGAAATTAAATGTAAATTGCATTAGGAATAATATATTCTTAATGGAAGTCTTGCTGCCAATAAGCACTGTCTTTCAGTGAAGAGCAGGTCTTGAGGGGGGTTGACTGTTTTATTTTTTTCTCTTCTCAGACTGCAGGATAAGTTTTTTACTTCTTTTAAAACAGTTTTTACCTTTAGTATAACACACAATAGTCCAATATCTCAGCTGAATATGATGCCCAGGAAAAAATTATGGTTTTCCTGAAAGGTACACCAAGGAATTTTACTGGACCAATGAATTTTACTGAATTTTTGGACCAATTTAAATTAGTCCAAAGAAGTTTTTTCTCTTCCACAATTTCAAATCGTGTATATCCATAAGTACGGCCTGTTGACCTCCTTGTGTTGCTTTCTGCAGAAACAAATGCTCTTAGCTCGCAGTTCATTTTGAGCTGAGAACCATCACATGTAATACTGTGGGATTATCATCAACTGTATTATGTTCCATGAGCTTTCAGATCATTTTTAGTGAACTTCTGATAATTGGTGTTTTTTATGAAACTTACTACTCTTTACTCTCTGTACTTCCAGTTACCTTTGTTCAATTTAACATACTTTATACTCGACCTCGTAAAAGTCCCTTGTAAAGGGACTGAGGATGTTTTAGCTTTGGGGTGACAGGAGAGATGGAGGAGGGCTTGGGGACTGGTTTTATAGCAAGAGGACAGAGGGGTACCTGACCAATCCAAAGCAAAGGCCTTGTTAGATCTGCTAAACAGGAGCTTTAGTTTGACTGTGAGAAGCCAAAACCTAAAAAATACCTGATAGAAAGGGCTTTGCTTTCCTGCTGGTGTTCCTCAGTGTTTACAGCATGGCTTTCGGCAGTGTTTTGGGGTGCTCTTTAACGTTCACACCTCTCAAGAGGTGTCACGATGCTTCGTCACAAGCTAACCCTTTCCACACTAGTCTGGTATCTTTTCATTTTTTATTGTAGAAAAATTAAAATATAAACTTACTCAACCCTTTCTTATTGTATGAGCATTCATACAGGAAAAATGCCATGCTAAATTAAGGCTTTCTAAATTACCTACATGTATGGGAAACTGTGAGCTGGGACAGGAGGTGACTGTTCTAATGTACCTTCCTATGGAAATGGAACTGTTGCTCTCTGGTATTATCTACTCTAGCACTTTTTTTTAAGGTTAATTTAAAATCACCTATATAATATGCATTCTCTTTTTTTTTTACCCCAAGGAATTTACTTACTGATTTGCCATTAGTAAGCAAGTGGTCCTGAATTTCAGCCAAAAATCTTAATTTCACAACTCCTTGAAAGACCCCCTTGCGGCACGCACTTGAGTATGGTTTCCATAAGGGTATTGAAAAAAACTCTCAGGGGAAACCTAACAGCAATCAGAAAACTTGAATGCCAGCTGAGCCAAAAGATCTTTTGGTTATTAATGACTAGTTTCCAGTTTGAAGCATTAAGTAATTTGTTAGCTTGCAGCAGAGCCACTCACAAGTGGTTTAATTTATCTTGCTGGCAAGCACCCAGTTCAAGGGGGCAATGGTATATGCTCCAAAATGAGCAGACAGTCTCCATATGGAACATTATTACTTATAAGGATGATTTTTGTATCATTTAGATCACTAACGATGGCTTCCAGTACAGTAATTCCAGAGTGCTGACCCTGTATGATGCGGTCTGCCAGGCCTGCCAATTCTATCCAACCGGACTTTGTAAATTAAAGGTAATTTAAAGATCATAAAGGTTTAATATGGATCGTTCATCTCTTCCTTAGCCCTCTCACTCCCTTTGATGTACTGTGTGTAATAACTGCTTTAGAAGAGGAAAATCTATTTTATAGGTCAGCGGCATAGCCTAACACTTTTCTCTCTTTCACAATCTCCTGTCTGATATTTTTTTTTTTTCATATTTACGTGGGGTATGAATACCTGATAGAGCATGCTTTATGATGGTACTTTCTCAGACAGACACTTCCAGAAAGACCATGGTTGACAATATTTATACTTTGCAGCTGTTAATGGAAGTAACTAAGACTGAGGAGTCTCCCCTGAAAGGCAGCTTAACTTCACTTTCTAAGTGTCTCTGCTATTTTACCTCTCCTAGCCTGTTTGGCGAGGGCACT